ATGTATACAGCATGGACAGGAAAGCGCACCACAACGATAGTTGCCTTTGAAATGCAACCACGTAGTGGATTGTGCTTGTATGGGACTATAGAAACTGGGAGACAAAGAGTTACCTAAGGTGGGGGCTCTTTTTGAAACTACATTAATACCGTTCTTGAGTATATTAGCCCATGTCTGGTCCTCACATAGGATAGGAAGATAATGGGTGACAATGCGTTTAATTTCATTAAATTCCAAACTGAATGGAGTGGAAAATGTAAGATTCCTTTTACTGGATTGATTGACATTATAATTTCTCTTACTATCACTCCCACTGCATGGTTTTTTTTCTTCAGTAGAAGATCTTCCCTCCGTTTAGAACTGGCTATACAGTATGCTCTATCCAGCACCCATTTAGGATATCCCCCATGTAAAAAGCGCTGGTATAGAGCAAGAGCCTCTTTGTCAAAATCCTGTTGGGCACTGCAAATGCGACAAATGCGCAAAAAATGTCCAACAGCAATACTTTTGATAGTATGTCTGGGATGGCCTGATTGGGCTAATAAAAGAGTATTACCAGATAGAGGCTTCCTGTATAGACTAGTGGTAACTTTACAATTATCACTGGTCAAACGGACGTCGAGGAAGAAAATCTCTCTCTTGTCCGATTGTCCCGTGAATGACAGATTCTTATCATTGTTGTTTAAATAAGATAAAAGGACTGACAAGTCTCCAAGACCTTTGTCTACAACGAATATAAGGTCATCAATTTAGCGAAAGAGCATTCTGATATGGTGTGTTTTTTATTAACTAATACCTATATAAGACAGCACTTTTTTTGTTTTCTTTGTTATGATTAAGCACGAGATTGTGTGAAACACGTTAACAAGTCCTGTATTTATGTCCTGGTGTTTTGTGTGTCCTATGGACCAATAAATACACACTATATTCATCTATCCTCCGGTGTGCGGCTGACCCTTATCCTTAAGCTCTTTGAATACCTTTATCTTGTTCAGATGTAAAAGTCTCAGTCCTATCTGAGAGTGTAAAACAAAGTCAGATAACTGCTCTTTGATAATAGGCCTAGCTACGAATAGTTTTGGACACTTTCAGTAAAGAAGACTAAGGGGTTCATTTACTAAGGCTGGCTCACTTCTGCTTATAAACCAATCAGCTTTCAGGTTTTATTGCCAATTGAACAGGCTGAGGTTACGTGCTGATTGGTTTCTATGCAAGTGAACCTAATTTTGCACTCTCCAGCTTTAGTAAATAAACCCCTAAATGTGCAAATAATTATTTTGGAGAAATGGGCCTCTTGGAAGTTTGGAAACATAGTGGGAACAGCACCTCTATGTTGCTTCTGCTTTCAGCAGTCACTCATACTAGTTTTTCTCTCACCCTAAGCTTTTGTATTTATACTGGTGGGGTACTGGTACTTCATGTGCAATGCATAAACTCTTTCAAGATGATATTTAGAAATTCCCCCAATGGTGTTTGATGCATTGGGTTTTTTTTTTTCTTTTTACTCTGGTATTTTAAACTTTTTAATTTGAGGATCCAATTATGAAAAATGTTAGTGTGCTGGGATGAAAGAATACAATTATTACCAAAAAGTAACCAAGCCATACAAAGACAACACTTTGCAGGGCTCTGCACCATTTTTGTAAGCCTTGGCAAAACCAAAAGGAATACATTCTTCTATATATTTTTTAGACATTTTCAACTAGTGGTAGGTTGTGCTGTCTGCATAATTTCATCCAACCTTGTCTCCCCCACGTTTATCTGGGTTGTCAGTCATATCAGTTTAATTACTTCACAGGTTTTTAAAGAAATAGGTGCATTATGGGCATAAATATATATATTATGTTTTCACAACATACACGCACAACTGCACCAGATCCTGCACTCTTCAGTTTTAGTAAAAGAACCCCTATGTCTCAGATCATGGCAGTATACAATTTGAAACATAAAGGGGTTGATTTACTAAAACTGGAGAGTGCAAAATCTGGTGCAGCCCTGCATAGAAACCAATCAGCTTTCAGGTTTTATTGTCAAAGCTTAATTGAAGAAGCTGAAGTTAGGAGCTGGTTGGCTACCATGCACAGTTGAACTAGACTTTGCACTCTCCAGTTTTAGTGCATCAACCCCATAGTGTGCTACTGCATATCATTTGCCACTGGTTTCATGCTTGTTTAGGCTATGTTTACCACAAAACATGTTTTGAGTCATCACAAACACATTCACATCCCAATTTGAATCCTAGGAAACACTGCTGTATACTAGACATTGGTCTACATCAGGGGTGGGCAACTGTGGCCCTCCAGCTGTTGTAGAACTACAAGTCCCATGAGGCATTGCAAAACTGACAGTTACAAGCATGACTCCCAAAGGTAGAGGCATGATGGGACTTGTAGTTCACCAACAGCTGGAGGGCCACAGTTGCCCACCCCTGGTCTACATACATGTAATGTTTTTTTAATAAATTTCATTATCTATTAAACTGGTCGCAGCTTACCTAAATATTGTTGGTAAAATCAATTTCAAATAAGTGTCTAAACACCCAGTGCATACCTTCCAAGTTTCTGAGAGGAGAAAGAGAAACACCTTTTAGTGGGAAATAAGCAATGAAACATTTCCTGTAATGCATCATTTACATGGACTATGAGGAATTGATATACAAAAAATGATTGGTTTAACCCACAAGTATTTTCTTTCATCACTACTTTTTCTTAATACTGGCTTTTCAAGCTAATTAACAAATTCAATAATTTAGTGATCGAATGTATAGTTTAGGACAGTATAACATGTCTGGTAACTAATTACCACATTTCTTTATATTGGCCAATTCATCTGAAGATGGGACAAATGAGGAGGAAAGAGGGACGGATGGACTTGGATCCAACAGAGGGACTGCCACTCCATATTAAGGACAATTGTTTACTATGCCAGTGGTATAACTTTGGATTTCTATAGCCTATGAGACACAGCAGTTCAGTGATGGTATGTCAGAAAACCCTTTTGAAATTTCAAGGGTAAACGTTTTAAAATGCTATGGGTGGCATCTTTGAACAGCTAAGCTAATGGTACTATTCTTATTGTTATCACTGTTGGAACACAATAAAAACAAGAAATTTACTACTGCATTGATGCACATCCTAAAAAAAATAGGATATCTGTTGTTGTGTATGTCTTTCTATGTGCCAACCAGATTTTTGGTGGTGAGAAATATTTACAGAAAGGGCAGAGAAAGACTTATGATCACATGAAAAATCAATGTCTATGAACAACATAGTACAAGACAAAGAGCCTCCCTGGTTCTTTTAATACATTGGAGTGAGGTGCCTGATGAATCACCACCATTAGTCATTCAATTCTGTGTGTACATTTTACCTTGAACTACAGATCTATGTAAACAAAAGGCTTTTTTTCAACATGTAGTAGGGGAAGCAAGGAAAGGAGCCCAGAGCTCCATCTACTGCTTGTATAAAACCCTCACATAATATTCACATATTTCAGATTTACCTAAATACGTATTTTTTTTAGTAACCATATTAAATAAGTAAAGAAACATTTAGATCGATAAAAGTATATTTCTAAAAATAATTCTCTTTTCTAGATGTACTGTAGTTGCAATTGGCATAAGAAACATGTAGCAATTAAATCTATAAACATGATAGGCAATTGCAAGTAGAAGTCACGCATACAAAGTTGGAGTTACAACCTTCAAAATGCATTGTCCAAAAACACACATAATAATAAGACATTTTAGAGGACATGGTAAAGCTTAGCAAAGACTCTTCTGCTTGATATCTTGCCTATCTTAAAACCTGCCTACTTAATAAGAGCCGTAAATGCTTCTACTACCCGTCATGCTGTCCACATGGCACCTGTTTGCCAGAAAATGTCTACTACTAGTGCTGAGAAAAAGGTTTTATTATGGACATTTTAATAATTGACATTATTGTATTTGTTCACGTGTTTTTCTCCTGGTCTGTGCATTGCTGCCTAGATATTGAGACCAAACTTAACAGCCTTAGCATGCATTATTTCCATGACAATGACCTAATGACTAAATAGCATACCTAAAGCATTTATTTTATTTAAAGTACATACAATCCATTTGCTGGGTATACTGTTTTAGTAAAAAGCATAGTTTTTTTTACTGTATGCTATATATTGAACAACTAGAGTATAAAGCTTATAGCACTGCAGATGCCACAGCAGCCTGAGGGTGACAGTGTTCATCAGCAGGCTAAAGGCTTTTATTTCTTTTCAGTCAAGGTATAATTAAACCCATAATATTAAAAAATGTCAGTACATGCTGTATTTCACATGCTGTGTATATTCACTCATCACTATGGGTTTGGTTTTCTGTTCTCTTGCAAAAACCTGATTGATCCTGCTGTTTGCTGTCCCTCCCTCCTTGTCTTTGTCCTCTCAGCAGCCTGAGCTTGTGTAGACCAGCTCTTGCCACATCTATGGAGCATGCTTCAGTTTCAGTTCCCTTCTAAGCTGCTAATTATCTCCTTTTTCTTATTTGTGCAGCTCACATGACTATAAAGTCACACATGTGGGCGTTTACACTCCAGATAAATGACAGCCCATTTCCTTCCTCCTCCTCCATGCCTACTAAACAGATCTACACTATGGGGGCAGGATATTACATGATGGTTGATGGAGGCTTCACTACTCTGTAATTCTAAGCACATACAAACAACAGACACAGGCTGGAAGGATGTGAAACAGACTGTGATTGCCAGAACCTCCTTCTAGGTAGTCCACACCATGTTTTTGCACACAAATAATAAAGATTTAAGTTCAAATTGAGTTAATTTGATATTAATTATGTATTTTTCCTATGCATTCCGAAGGCTGTTTTTTTTTTTTGAACATGTGACCAGCAGCAGAGAATTAGAAGCTCCTCCCACCGATGTTTCTCGACTGAGGGACTGGGAAAGAGCTGGGTCACCTGATGGCTATATATCAAATATGAAAAAAATTGACTTAGATGTTTCTTCTTAGTAGCCTCCCTGACGGTATTCCCGAGTGTAGCTCGGGGTAAGGTTTCAGTACCAAGAGCGGTAACCCCGAGCTACACTCGGGCTTACCATGCGGCGCTGCTCCAGCATCTGTTCTTCACTTACCTTGTCCTGCGCTCCCGCGATGTCCCTCTTTCAGTGTCCCCTGTAATGTAATCCGGCGGATGCCGGCATCTGTTATCTTGGTTCCGTCCCCTGCGAGCGTCGGGACGTACGGGGACGGAACTGGCGGGAAATTTGAAAATGACAAAAAGTGACATTCACTAAATACACTAAAATCACATAGTAAAACATTACTGTATCAAAGCATTTCGCATACATTTTGTCCCTAGTGCTTTGTCCTGCGCCCTGCCTACATTTTTACTGTTCTTATTGCCTGGAAACTGAGAAACGTCCATGGCGTTCAAAAAGTGTCCCTTTAGGTCAAAAGCTGTTTTAGACCAGCTAGAGAACAGTGATAGTAAATTAGAACCACTTGCCGAATTGAGTGATAATGATTTGTGGGGAAATTCGTCATCAGACACTGAAAACAATTTTGCGACTTTGCTCAGTGATGTGTGAACTTGGCGCTATATTTCAAATTTCAGTGTTTTTGGTTTGATTATATTATTGAATAAATTTTTATTATTATTATATTATTATTTTTTTGATTATTTATTAAATTATAATTTATGATTTCGTGTTTCAAATTTTAACATACCCGGGATGTTTACTAGACTCTTGTAACTCACAGATTTCAGTGAGTTATTCCTAAAAATTACAGGCCTACAATAAAAAAAAACATATTTCCATGCAAAAAAATTTACCGCTTTCAGCCCAGAAATACGGACATAATCAGACCGCTAGGGAGGTTAAAATAAATACAGGGTAATCATAAATATAGATAAAGAGAAAGGACGATGTAAATTAAAGAGTGTGTGTTTAGTATAATAATATTAGTCTCCAGTCTGTATCAAATGAACCACTCTTTCTGGGATTGAGATCCAGCAGCTACACAAGGGGGTTGACTTATTAAAAGTGGAGAGTGTAAAATCTGGTGCAGCTCTGCATAGAAACCAGCTTCCATTTTTTTGTCAAGACTTAATTAAACAAGTTGAAGTTAGAAGGTGATTGGCTATCATGCACAGCTGCTCTGGATTTTGCACTCTTTTAGTAAATCAACCCAAAGTGTCATCTGCTGGCTCTCATAGGAGCCACATTTATTTACATACCCCATGGGATATCCTGCAGGGGGTATTTATTTACAGATTGCAGTCAGTAAGGGGTTAACAACATTGACATTTATGTTACTTAAGGTTGAATAATGTGCATATTAACTGCGGCCGGCCAGTTCTGGGAGCGCGTCATATGACGTCCTCCCACAACGCGCTCTCCTGCGCGCCCCCAAGGGCACGCACCCGGTGATCTCTGTGATCGTTGTGTCCTACGGACACAGCTGATCCTGTAATGTGGTAAAAGGCCAATCACAGCGGCCTCTTACCCCGTGATCTGCCGTGTCCAATGACACGCTGATCACCGGGAAATGCAATTGCTGGTTCTCTGCTGTACTTTCCTCACGCTGTCAGAGCGTGAGGAAAGTACTGCCGAGAACCAGCAGTTGTCAGAGCAGGGATCGGCACCGATCATCAGGGCACTGATGATCAGTGCCCTGATGATCGGTGCCCAGCAGTGTCACCCACCAGTTCCGCCCACCTGTGCCCAGCAGTGTTCCCACCTGTGCCCAGCAGTGCCACCCAGCAGTGCCACCTACCTGTGCCCAGAAGTGCCACCTACCTGTGCCCAGCAGTGCCACCCCCTGTGCCCACCCATATGTGCCCACCAGTGCCACCCACCAGTGCCCATCAATGCAGTGCTGCCAGTCAGTGCCACCCATCTGTGCCCAGAGGTTGTGCCAGTCAGTGCCCAGCAGTTGCGCCAGTAAATGCCTAGCAGTGCCACCTATCAGTGCTGTCTATCAGTACCCATCATCAGTGCCGCCTATCAGTGCCACCTATCAGTGCTGCCTATCCGTACCACCTCATTAGTGCTGCCTATCATAGCCTCCTATCAGTACCCTTCAGTGCTGACTATCAGTGCCCATCAGTGCTGCCTATCAGTGCCCATCAGTGCCGCCTATCAGTGCCTATCAGTGCTGCCTCATCAATGCACATCAGTGAAGGAGAAAAATTACCTGTTTGAAAAATTTTATAACAGAAACAAAGAAAACAATTTTTTTTCAAATTGTTTGCAATTTTTTTGTTTATAGCGCAAAAGTTAAAGTGCCCAGCGGCGATTAAATACCACCAAAAGAAAGCTCTTTTTGTGAGAAAAAAATGATCAAAATTTCATATGGGTACAGTCTTGCATGACCGCGCAATTGTCAACCAAAGTGCGACAGTGCTGAAAGCTGAAAATTGGCCTGGTAAAGAAGGGAGTATAAGTGCCCGGTAGGCAAGTGGTTAATAGAAATTGGAGAACATCAGCTGTATAAATTTATTTCCTTTTTTGCATCAAAATTGAAACTCATTTTAAGGGGATGAGGTAAACTATACATTTTTAACTATTAGTTAATTTGTATTCTTCAGTTAGTGCATATTTCTAATGCCTATTGTTCATCTTTCAGTACATACAGTATATGATTCTATACTCATCATCATCATTCATCTGCCATTGCTCTTCTTCCATCACTTAATACTTATTTTCCAGTCATTTTATGCCCATCATCACATTCTTTACTCCCCATTAACCATTCATTATAGCAGTTATTCCTTATCCCACTTCACTTATTTCTCTAAATTTAATATTTTATTACTTAACTATCACTGTCCCCCCCATCACTATCTAGCCCTTAAACATCATTAATCACAGTCAGGTTTCGCTTATTACATCATATTTCATTATACTGTTGAGTGATGATTTTCTGTTAATTCTAACATTTGACAGTGATACATGATGAGTAGACACCATAAACCCTTACTGCTTTAACATCAATATAGGCATCAACTTAAGAAACGAAATACTCTAATTGAAGTAATAAAGCAACCACTTTTATATTTTCTTTTCAGCTGTATAGCCTTTAAATTTGCAGTTTTATTAAATGGCTCACTGCAAACATGTGCAAATGTAGCCTACATCTATCATTATTTATATAACAAAAAGGATAACGGCCAGGTAGTTAGACGAAACACTGTGTCCCATATCTGAAGCAATAACTAGCAAAATGCTTTTATACAACCTTTTTTCCCCTGTTTTTCTGACTCACAGTGAGAAGCAGAGAAATGGTCATCACAGCTAATTTTGCTTCGCACACTTTACAGTACTAAATAACAGGCTTTTCATTTGGCATGGCTTTTACACATTTAATAGCTTTATGATCTACAACTGGATAGAATGATTTTATTTTATATTGCTGTACAAAATCCAAGAAGACTTCAATGTGTCTTTGATTTTTATAGGCAGAACCCTCCCAATTACAATGCCTACTTCATAAGAATTCAGAAACTGTCAGCCTAAATTCACTTTCCTTTCAATTTCTCCAGTGATGCATAAAAAAGAGATGCAGTTTATGACCTAATCAAATCTGGGTACTCCATCTCTCTCACAATAATACCAACATTGTCAATTGCAGAAATAATATATGTATAAAATACATACAATGAGTAAATTAGTACAAACTCTTTACTTGCTTGATTGAAGATGGGTTGAATTTATCCAAACCAGTTCCATTATATCTTTATGGAGCTGATTGCTGCTTTCTCATGTGGTGCCTGGTATACACTGTAGGTGGAATAATATCAGTAAGAGCTTCTATTACTTATTTTATTTACTCACCTAGGTTAAAGAGCAAGAGCTGAATTTGATGAAGGGTGAGGTTGCTCAAAACTGTCTTCAATATACAGTATGTATAACATTCCTCACATCGCCTCACAGCCCCCTCACATCTGCGCTGCTTTAAAAATTGTAATAGAGGGTGCAGGAGGGGATCCCCTGCCCGCTGTCACGATGGGGAATCAGGGGGTGCAGTGCTGCTGCTTTAATAACATCTTACATGTTATACCCTGAATACTGGTGTAACATGTAACTAAAGGTGAACTTCCTCTCTCGCTCGGAGCTGGCCCTGTTGGGTATTCATGAAGATGACCAATGATCAAACCATGCTAACTTCTAATTTCATTCCTATTATTTTATGCTAAAAAAGAGCTATTTTTTAAATGGACCTTCCCAGCCCCTCCACATTTGTCGGCCTGGGAGGCACTGGTGGATGCAGCTTTGCCAATGTATAAAGTTACCAAGATTAACCGGTGTTGTCCTTGGAAATATGATAAAGTGTGGGCTCCATGGTTGCACTGTTCAACAGGTAAAAAGTTTTTGGGCATAAAATTAGCTAATCTTACATAATTTTGGGGTGCTGAAAACGAAAATGACCCTAAAAAATGTTGATTGGCTCTAGTTTCCATGATATATTCACCCATCTAATGACGTAAGCCATTCAAAATTATGATGCAACTTCAGCTGCATATTGCGCAATTGATACTGGTGACCAATAGAAAATTGCATGCATACTGAGATGATGCAATATTAGCCTTTAATTGCATCACTTCACTGCATAAAAGCTGCAGTATCTGTAGCTGATTGGAGTTCGTCTTTACATTTCGTTTTATGCTTATATAGGCTACTCAGTAATGCCTCGAACTTGTGTGAATAAAGCAGATAATTTCTGCTATATCTGCGGTGAAATAACTTTTATCTCACAAAAAAGGAGGATAACAGGAATGATTAAGAAAGCCTACAACTTGTATTTTGGCTGCAAGATAGGAGACCAGGACAAGAGCTGGGCACCACATATATGCTGCAATTCTTGTGGGACGGCACTGGAGCAATGGTTGAATGGAAAAAAGGCATCTATGCCTTTCGCTGTGCCAATGATTTGGAGAGAGCCAACAGATCATGTTAGTAATTGTTACTTTTGTATGGTGCCTCCAATTGTAAAAGGGCTAAATAAGAAGAAAAAGTTATCTGTGCACTATCCAAATATTCCATCGGCAATACGTCCAGTTCCTCATGGAGAGGGGCTACCAATTCCTAAAGCACCAGAATCCTTCGTGGTTGAGTCAAGTGAGGAAGAACCTGAAGTGTGTAGTCACGTGCAGTTGTAAGAGATAGCCCTTTCCTCGAATACAAGAGAAAAGCCAAGAGAAGCAAAACCGACACAAACTGAAGACAAAACTAGTGAGAATCCTAAGTATTAAAATGATTCAACTTAGCTTATGGCTATAATTTTTCTTGGTAATCCTATGCAATATATTATGCCATTTAGGCTTTGTTATGTAGTCAATATCACTTGCTTTATATTTGTGGAAAGACATCTATCTATATAATTATTGTGCATTATGTAGTCATTACGCCTATAGTAGAAAACTTTCCGTTTACAGAAAAACTAGAGCCAATTGACAAATTTCATTGTTATATTTGAACTCAGAATGTGAAATTCATTAAGAAATGGATCCTTTTGTTTCCAAAACTGGCAAAAAATAAAAATTTGTTGAACAGTGTTGTCTGAGCAGTGATCCTTTCCCTTCTCCTCCCCATGTCCCCCTTTCGTAGGGATCTTTTCTTTTTATTGATGGTTATGGCTGTGGGGTAATGGATGTACTACTTTGCATTATTATTGCAGGACTCATCATATTCACGGTCACATGTTATATGCCATATTGTATTGAGTTTTGAGGAGGGAGGGGTATTGTAGTATTTGTTGCAATTCAATTCCAATTCACATAGCATTTAACAAAGTTTATAACATAAGGTGCATATGCATCTCACAGCAATTCCATTACACGTGCACTAGGTAGAGGAGGAGGTGCACTGTAGATCAGTCACTATATTTTACTTTTACTCACACCATTACACTATTAATTCAGGTAGCACTACACCCTATTTATGTATTTATTTATTTGGATTTTACAAACTTTTTTTGGGTGGTGGTAGGTGTTCAGCAGCCACCTAATTTATATACATACACAAAGCTTGCAACATTCTACATTGCAAAGATTCCCAATTTATCATATGAAGGAAAAAATTGACCCATGTATGGTCAGCATTGAGTAGAAAAGGAATAAGGTACCTTATAGCTAAATAAATGCCTTAAGATATGTGGTTTTGAATCAATACCACTGCTAATATCTCAAGAAAACATATTTATTTACACCACCAAGAAAGTATTTTAAAGGACAAGTGTATTCATTCACCAAAATCAATTATTCGAAAGTGTTAAATTAATTATTTCAGATGCCAAACTACCTGATAAAAGAATAAAAAACACTAGACTGAAGAGAATGTTCAGTACAATAAGTGGCCAAGCAGACACAAAATGTATTTTTATAACTTTATAGATGCACCCAATTGTTAAGTCTTACACTGAAATGAGAAATGTATCAAGATTTACTTTCCTTTTTTTATATTTATAGTACTGCACTTAAAGACACAGATCATGTACGAAGGGTATCAACGACAGAAGACCGTTGCAAGCTTGCAACATTTTTCAGTGTTAATAGAAACAGTTTTAGTTTGTGATTTGAATCATGATAATAATCTTTGACATGCACAACTGTGAATTATGTACTCAGTTTACTGAACAACCATTGTCCCATATTAATTAGTCAATTACTCTAGCTCTATTTTGCCTGAGGATGTAATTTATAAAAAAAAAAGTCTCCTACAGGCATCTACAGAACACTAAATACATATTTAGCAATTAAAGCATTTATTAGAGATAAGTAAATAATTAAAAATCCTCTCAGCTAGCAATTTTTCCAGTCCACTCACACCATCCAGTCTAGCTGATTTGCATACAGCTATGAGGCTATATTAATTACATGTGACATTTTGTGGAAAAAAAAAATGTACTTAACTGTCCAGCCCAAAGATAACACTGTTACCAGGCATATGGGCTGGTATCCCCATAGCTAGGCAGTGGTGAGTATGCAACAATATTGATACCAGCCTGGATGTCTTCTAAGCT